TTACTGTTACCGGCGATTGATCTCGGACGTACGAAGAATATCTCATTTTAGTTGGCTTGTTAGTCGTGCTTACAGGTCAATTTTCTTGGGGACAGTCCAACTCGTTTCAAGTACGATGATTAGTTCTTTCAACAATGAGATCACATTTGCATCGTATATTTGTATTTAATGTTCTGTCCATGCATTGCCAGGTGCCTTATTACTGTTATACATCCCGGCTGTGCTGCACAGTAAGGCCGAATTACTATAATCAAGCTGACGGCCTATTATCTGGGACACGAAAAATCGTTTTCTCGCATATCGTAAGGGTGTTATAAACATGTCGCGGTAAATAAAAAATATGCGTAAGTGTGCTCATAAATAGTTTTGCAAGAAACAATGCAGACTATAGTGAAGCAAGCGTAGTGTGATTCCGGATTAAAAAGTTCACGAAACAATCACGAAATATCAAAAATAAATTGGCAGATCCAAAGTACAGTGGAAATCGATGATATGCGAATGACGTATGAGGAAGGTTGATATGTCACTTTCAAATCAGCACAACGTTACGAGGCAGACGTAAATTATGCCGTACATGAATTCCATATCATGACTATCATGTTCTAACGTGTCATTTACCTTTGTCTTCTATTCACGTCACGTGATACTAAATTTGGTATATGTGTAGCTAGCGAAACGACCGCGAGCGTCGTATGAGAGTAGCATGTAGTCATGTTTTACATAACACGCATATGATGATTATCTTGTTGGCACCAGTCATATACCTTCGACATTCATTGACGTCACGCAACACCAAGACTACTGTATGTGATACCAGAGAAACGACCGCGAGCGCACTATTAGCGTAGCATGTAATCATGTTTTACATGACACACATGTCATGGTTATCATGGTTGGACGTGTCATTTATTCTTGTCGTCCGTTCACGTCACATAAACCAAGTTTGGCGTATGCGAATCTAGTGAAACAGCTGTGGGCAAATCATGAGCGTGGCATGTAGTCATGTTGTTACATGACACGCATCTCTTGATTATCATGTTTGCACCAGTCACATACCTTCGCCGTTCATTCACGTCCAATTATACCAAATTTGTTATATGTGAAGCTAGTGAAGGGGCCCCGACCACATCATTAGTGTGGCCTGTAGTCATGTTCCTACATGACATGTATCTCATTATTATCATGTTCGCATTAGTCATATGGTGCAAACATGATAATATTTGCACTATATGTGCAAATGTGATAATGTGATAATGACTTTCGTTATTAATTTACGTGACGTAATACCAAATTTGGATAATGTGAAGCTAGCGAAACGGCTGCGAGCGCATCACGAGTGTGGCATATAGACATTTTGGTACATGACACGAATGTCATGATTATCGTGTTAGGGTCTGTCGCTTGTGTTCGCCATGCAGTCGTGTCATATCATGCTGGTTTTGTAACATGTCATGTGAACAAACCACCACAAGAGCAGCAAGACCATGAAAGGTAAACCATGGCATTCATGACATACATGCCATTATTTTCATGCTATGACAATTCGATTCCTTATATTCCTTATATTCCTTATAGGCCTTATATTCGTCATACAGTAACGTTATGCCATAGCAATTTTGGTGTTGATACCGTTATAGAAACCGCCAGGGGAGCCAAAAGACGTAGGCGGCTAGACAGACAGGCAGACGGATAGATAGATAGATAGATAGATAGATAGATAGATAGATAGATAGATAGATAGATAGATAGATAGATAGATAGATAGATAGATAGATAGATAGATAGATAGATAGATAGATAGATAGATAGATAGATAGATATGCTCAATGTCACCGAAGTTCGCTAAGAAATGCTTTGCAATTAATATAAGTAATGATTTCACGAGGCTCCAAAACAGTGATGATCGCTTAAACACTCATCATACCCTCCGCAAAAATATAGGAGTGTTCCGAGTATACCTTACATTTCACAAATTCTGAGTATTAAGGGAAATAGAGAGCAGGCGTTGGAAAGTGCGCATGATTATTTAAGACAGTACGTTTCATGAGTATACAATGCTACCCTATCAACGTTGTGCCATGCAGATGGGAAGGAAGGCTATAATTGAACACACTGTGGAATACTGAGGTCGAATATACTTGTACATTTCCACAATGTCTACCAAAAAATTTAATAGTTCATTTCCTTCGACTAGTTCGAAAAACGGAGAAGCGTACATACTGTACAATAAAAAAAAAGGCGCATTTCTCTGGCTTTCTTTCATGCCAATTCAGGAACGTTCAGAGCAAAAAGCTAATCAGTTTTCACATATTTGCATGGTGACCATATCTACGTAGTCGAGAGTTCGACGGAATGCCGTCTGGTCAGGTAAAGGCATTGTTGAAAAAAACAGGTCACTGACCAATGTCAAACAAAACAATGACGTTTGGGAACCGGTACGGGTCCCTTGTTCACAATGGAATGACGGCTGAGCAACAGGTTCTTATGTAACGTTGAGCGCATGACGCAAAGTCCGGGAGTACACGTGGTTTAGTGTGCCAGATGATCTATTGATTGTGTTACTTGTCGTCTGAATGATTAGTGATTCGAGGTTCAGTCTGGTTGTAAAATTCTTCTCCGTGGCCACGATGCGTGCGTTGTCCCAGCTTATCTCGTGGCCCGTCTTCTCGGCATGCTCTGCGAGTGCATTTGTCACTGTGTGGCCCTTGGCGACGTCGTTTTTGTGTTGCATCAGACGTTTGCAGTAATTTCCACTCGTGACAATGTACACCGATTCGCAATCGGCGCATGGTATCTTGTAGACCACACCAGGAAAGTGTTGCCGAAGGAGAGGATCCTTCACATTTAGCAACTCAGCCTTAAGCTTGCTTGCTGGAACATGCGCGATCTGTACACCACGTTTTCTGAATAGACAGGCTAGGGCTTCGCTTATATTTCGAATATAAGGAATCGATGCACGCTTTTTTGTAGACGATGTGTTATGCATGGCCTGAATAGTTGACTGCAGTTTATGCATGACGGATTTAGTTGTTTTCCTAATAAAAATCTTGGGGTATCCATTCTTGATCAGGTCATCTTCAATGGTCCGGAGCTCCTCCTGCAGGCTTTCTTCATCGGAACAAATGCGAATTGCTCGTTGAACTAAAGACCGAATCACTGAGCGTTTGTGGGCTACCGGGTGGACTGACTCATAGTCGAGGTATCTACCGGAGTGCGTTGGCTTTCGGTACACAGCGAAGGCGAGGCCTGTGGGAGTACGTTTTACAACTGCATCCAAGAAAGGGAGGCAACCGTCTTTTTCTTCTTCCACAGTAAACTTGATGGACGTCTCGACGCCATTTAAGCAGTCAAGGAAAGCTTGGACGTCTTTCTTCTTTATCACGCAGAAGCAGTCGTCGACGTATCTCAGAAAAACCTTGGGTCTCGGCTGAAATGTTTACAATGCTTTCTGCTCAATTGCTTCCATTGTGATATTCGCAGTTGTGACCGAAATCAAAGCTCCCATTGCGGTACCGAAAACTTGCCTGTAGAATTCACCCTTGTACGAGAAGTAAGTATTGGATAGGCAAAACCGTAACAATGTGCACAGCTCGGTGACGTCGAACGGTGCGCGATCGGCCAGTGTCGTGTCCTTGTGAAGCAATTGTCTGGAAGTGTCTACAGCAAGGTCGACGGGAACACTTGTGAAGAGGGTGCAGACATCAAATGAAACCAGTACTTCGTCGACATCCACAGTGATACTCTTCATTTCGCTTATGAAGTCATTGGTGCTCCGGAGGTTAACCTCCGGAACACCAATGACTTCATAAGCAAAAGATCGCGCATGTTCCAGCAAGCAAGCTTAAGGCTGAGTTGCTAAATGTGAAGGATCCTCTCCCTCGGCAACACTTTCCTGGTGTGGTCTACAAGATACCATGCGCCGATTGCAAATCGGTGTACATTGGCACGAGTGGAAATTACTGCAAACGTCTGATGCAACACAAGAACGACGTCGCCAAGGGCCACACAAGACAAATGCACTCGCAGAGCATGCCGAGAAGACGGGCCACGAGATAAGCTGGGACAACGCACGCATCGTGGCCACGGAGAAGAATTTTACAACCAGACTGAACCTCGAATCACTAATCATTCAGACGACAAGTAACACAATCAATAGATCATCTGGCACACTAAACCACGTGTGCTCCCGGACTTTGCGTCATGCGCTCAACGTTACATAAGAACCTGTTGCTCAGCCGCCATTCCATTGTGAACAAGAGACCCGTACGGGTCCCGAAACGTCATTGTTTTTGTTTGACATTGGTCAGTGACCTGTTTTTTTCAACAATGACCATATCTACATATGGCCAAATTTGCTGTGTGAGAGTTATTTCACTTGTCCAGTGTTTGCAAATTTAAAGTGCAACGCAAAGACCGCCATATCAGCTTCTTCTTTTGTATACGATTGGTTCTAGTACATAGGTGAGCAGCGTTGACCTACCTACATTTCAAGCACATTTATTGCGCGAGTCACCAGGGTCGAATTGGCTTAAAGTGCACACAGTATAGTCGGCAGCAAGTTTAGCACGAACGCTCCGTAGCGTGCGCTGAAACAGGTTGGTCGACGATAGCACTGCGTAGCTTTGGGGTCTGTTGCCGAGATGTTACGCATGGGTGCAGACATACTAGCTAAGCATGCTGAGGTGTTATCTCGGCAACGCAGCCCTGCACTTGGCTGCTGGCATAGATCGAAGTAGTCCGGGTCGCGCGTCGGAGCTCTCGTGTTGATGACTGAACACTAGAGAGTTTTAGCAAACTACGGAAACACGTTACCGTAAGGCGGCAACACGAAACCGGCTGATGAGCGCGCAAGTGCGACCATTGTACACGCATCCGGAAAGGAACAGTGTCGTATTTGCGCAACGTGTTTCCGTGGCTTGCTAAAACTCCGGACACCTCGCAGTTACTGACTTGTCGCACATAAACGACATTGCAGACTTTTTTTCTCTTTTCAGTTTTTAGAAGAGGGAGTGACCCTGCACGTGATCGCGAGGAATTATGATCCATTGGGGAACAACTTGTCAGACTGCCTCCGCACCACCACAGTCCTGAAGAACAGCGAGAACCACACCGGCAAAACAAGTGGTCACGTTCATGAATCACAAGGCTGCTAAATGGTGCGACGCTTAAAAAAATACATTGACTTATTTTTGGTAACCCGCTGCCCGTGTAATCGCTAGTTTTGTAGTATTTTAGTAAGCTTCACTTAGTCGATGGTCCCGGAGATGTGCGCGTTTTCAGGGCAATGAAATGAGGGTATGTCTATGTGTTCTCCAATATCATTCCGACTTTGTAAAGCCCTAATCTGGACTTGTTTGTGTACAGTGGAGCTGTATTAAGCCGATTTTTTCGGGCAGTGATGTTGTAATAGCTTAGATGGGCGAGCTAATGATTACAGACAAAGAAAGATATAAAAAACAAAAGAAGAGGCAGTGAAAAAAAGAGAAGACAGAAAGAGAAAGAAAGGCAGATAGGAAATAAAAAAGAAAGATAGAAAAAAGAAAAAGAAAGTTTTAAGAAAGAACTGAAACTTGAGGAAAGAGAAAGAGGAAGCGAGGAGATGTAAATATTGGGAAGAAAGAGAAATACAATAGAGAAGAGGAAGAATGAATAAGTAGAGAGATAAAGAGAGAACGAGAAAACAGAGATAAAAAGAATATAGCGAGAACAAGAAGAATGATGAAGAAAAAGAAAATTAAATAAGACAGCCTGCGCTCCGTAGTTTTCTTTCTAGTTGGGCACAGCCGGTACGAAGCTGCTTCAAATTGCCCTATGACTTTTTCCGACTCCGGCCCAGCTGTAACATTTCAGTTATTGTATCGTGGAAGTCAGTTTAGGGAATCAGTGGTATCGAGATGAGCGGAAGTTTGTGATGAAAACTCGGCGGAAATACACGTATATATACACACGCTGACAACTTTTCTTGGCACTGAAGCTACGGGGGGGGGGGGGTGAGCGTATGCACACGGTGGAGCGTATGCACACGGGCCGCAATGCGAAGTGGCCCAATTTGGCACGCGGTCACGTAACGTTGTGGAAAATGACGAATGCGCACCATCGGCGTTTCACTTAGACGCAGATGCCGCTCAGCATTTGAGGTCTACGTAAAAAGGCGCGACTTTATCGCGTGTTCAAAAGCGTCAAATCACAACAAATATCTTAAAGCAAATTCGAATATTTAATGGTGCGAGTTGCGTCCTGCCTAAAATAGCTCCGCATAGAAAATAAAGGAGGAAATCTTATGTTTCACGTTGAAAATGTTGGTGCTATTGTAGAACGACATTCAGCTGCGGCAGAACACACGCGATTGGGCTCTGCAGCTTTCGCTCCAATGCCAAGGAAAGTTGTCGCCTAGTATAGAAATCGATGACCATAAAGCACTTTTATTAGATGCGAACAGCTCTTATATTAGCATGTGTAACGCTGTCCCTCCGTACAACGCGCCGCGTGCCGCAAGTGTTGGGGCGGTAGCCACGTAGGTCACACCGCTGCTGCACATTCACGTTACGCTCCCTTCGCTGTACGCGCTGACGTCACCTTTCTCCATCGCCTGCCACGCGCTCGTCACGGCACCCGCAGTTGGTACTTCGTCCGTTCGCCCCCAACACCTCCCTACAACGCCGACTCGTCGTTTCACGCGGAGTAAATCTCAAGCACGCCGAACGTACGCTTTGAAACACGTATGTACGTGTCACCTACAAAACCTACACCGGCCATCGCTTCAAACAAATCTTCCAGCACTCACAGCAGCATCCGCGTTAGCGCTGTTCAAACCGAGACGCCACACGTGCAAAACGCTGCAGCTTCGCATTCCATCAGGGTTCCCTTCGGGGAGATGGTCCAAGTTTTTATATCTGTTGATGTAAACAAAAAAGTACAAGTCGTTTCTCGAGGTAGGTGATTGGCTCGTGTCGTAACCTTTGGAAAACATTAAAAAAATCTAGCAAAATGAGTATAGCTGCGAAAAGTTTGCTTTTATACCATGGCAAGACTACTAGTTCTACTACTACTAGCTCCTTGACTCCGGTCTGTCTCGTATTAGTCGTTTATGTGGTAGCCATCTCTCCTGTAAATTGTTTCGCTCAATAAAGCACGCATTGTAAACAAACCTGATTTTACGTTACAACGAGTTAGTATGCAGTCTTTGTTTATTCTGTCGTTCCAGGATGTCCATTGACCAGGGACTAGTAGCCTTCGCTGATGAGAATGGAGAATTTAATTTCATGAAAACTGCAGAAGACTCGGGTACGTAGATTCGACTTGTGTGGTGTTTCATTCCGTTTATGCCATTGCTATGGCTAACTAAGATGCCCGCAAATTGCAAGTGATCATCGTTATCGCAAATATACCTCAGCGTATTTTTTTTTTCATTTTCAGAGTACTGTACATTAAGCTGTGGAATAAGCAGCGTTAGTGTTGTTACGGGGTATAATTCGTCGTTTATAGATTAAAGTCTCCTCTTTCTCATTACGCGGGAAAAGGCACGACAGACTAAGCTCCAGATTGACGTTATTCTAGAAAACCACTTGCGAATTCGCCGCCTGACGAAAACGTACTAAATCCCGTGATCTCCTTTTACCGGAAGATTGTAGCTTCTGAGGGCTTAGACGAATTCAATGTTCCGTGCATTATGTTTTTTTTAACTATAAGATTCCGTGGACTAAGAACATTTCGCCTCCATTGAAATACGACCGCCGGGGCCAGGATTGAACCCATGACAATTGTGTTAGCAGCCGAGCAGCGTAGCCACTTTTCCACAGAGGCGGACATGTGTGAAGTGCTCGCCGCACCACATGAGAACAACGTGATTTTCGCTTGGCTGCGTTGTATTACTGGGAGTATAGCTATTTCGAAAGTAAACTGTACAGCGCGTTTTCATCTTTTTCTAGCTGGCCCCAAAATGTCGTACAAATTTTTGCATACGGAAGAAAGCTGCTGCGTTATGGAGGTGACCTACGCTGGAGCCAAGAGGACGGGTGAGTCTAATTATTTTTGTCTGGCTACGTGAGCCGACATCTTCGCTCAGCTTTACCGGGTGCAACCAGTAACCAAATATAGGTATGGCGCTGTGACCGCTGCTTCCAACATGATCCAGTGAGCAGTGAGCTAAGCAAGGATTAGGTGTGCGCATTGATTGCTATGTGGGATTTAACGTCCCCAAACTACCATATGATTATCAGAGACGTCGTAGTGCAGGGCTTCAGAAATTTTGAGCACCTGGGGTTCTTTAACGCGCACCCAAATCTGAGCACACGGGCCTTCGTATCTATTGAAAATGCAGCCGGGATTCGATCCCGCTACCTGCGGCAGAGCAGCCGAGTACTTCAGCCACTAGACATATATCTTCAGTTTTAGGAGGTACAAATTCTATGGTGCTATACACCATAACACAGCAAGCTCAGACAGTGCTGCCATATTAAAAAGCGGGTCGCGCCATCTGTTGCGAGCGCGGCGAAGCAACACCCTGCACTGTCACGCAAGCAGACGCTCCGCAAATCAAACACGAAACTTTACAACCCGATGTTTTGCGCTCTTCCTCTACTGGAATTTTGTGCTGATTTCATCTAAAACGTAGATGAGCCCTTCCTCGATTGACCGGGATGTCTACAGCACGTGCACTGCAGACTACGGAAGCGACTTCATCAGGTACGTAATATCACGAGTGAAAGAAACGTTAACAGCGGGAAGCGTTGCTTGCGACTCAGTCAAACAGCGGCGTGCCTTGGCTGTGTCAAGGCATAATTTGTTCAGTCTCCCAAGGGTTGCAGAACTAAGCGCCTTTTCCGTTTTCCTCCCAACCACTACTACCACTACACATTGATATACCTCCAGGTTAACTCAGCAGAATCTGTGGATATTTTCTGTCCTCTCGTGTGCAGCACAGACTGTACAGTGTCTCATCTCCTCGCGACGTATAGATGATTTCAGACGTCGAGCGTAGTATGAACAGACACAGAGAGCAATTCAAAATTGCAGCATGGTCTGCTACACTGCTTTCGCGAGGCGACAAAGCCGTCGTCGTTATCTGTGGAGCCAGATTATTCATAGTGACTGATTAGAATTGTTGGCGTTTTGCTTGTAACTATGACAAGCACTGTAGTGGACGGGAGTTTCTACAATGTGGTATATTTGACGGGCGCCAAATCTAACCACCGGAGCCTCTCCAGCATTTCAATTCCATCAAAATGGCCGCCATGGTCGGGACTAGATGGCGCTACCTGTGAGATAGCACATCAAGCATGATTACCCCTAGACAATCGCAACCGATAGCATCCTCAAATTTTCAGTGTAGTTCTTACGCCAAAATGGTCTATGGTTAAGATCGGGAGCCTTATAGCTTCCACGTGGAAAGACTTTCCCTTTGTTACACTGGTGTGAGTTAAAGAGCCATGACCAGAAAACTAAAGCACACCGAAGCTTGCCCAGAATTAGTTCGTAGTGTATAGTAAACCAGGGTTTGCAAGGAAACGCTATTCCCTCGGCTAAATCGATCGTGTTAAAGAGTTCTTGTTTGTCCTTTTTCCTTTTTTCAAAATTAGGCGTGAAGTGCTTTGGGAATCCATTGCCAGCGACCTTCAAGAGACCTTGTGCTAATTCGCAAGCACCGTCTTCTCGGCACTTCAAACAAAAATATTCTGGCATTTACAGATACACAAAAAAAACAAATAAGAGGCTACACGCAACCGGGCACCTCGCCAGAAGTTAAAATCGGCGCGGTCTTTTGAAGGAAACCTGTTTTTTTTTTACATAAGCTCATTACTTCTGCGAGGTGACTTTTTATAGATATTTGTAAAACTGGAAGTAGAGCGAGGTAACAGCAAACGAAAGTCAGGGAGGTTAACCAAGTTGCACCCGGTTTGCTACCGTACACGTGGCAAGGGGTAAAACCGTAAGTGAGTCCCGGGCCAGATATTGTTGGAAGCATAGAGGAAGAAAAAGAAGAGGGAGCGTCACGTCGCGAGAGTGAAGCCCATCGTGCCGGCCCAACACGCGATTAAAACACCAGAGCTTGCGGTAGGTTTTAGTACTCTCGGTGCTGTTCCGTCTTTGGCTGTGTTCCAATTCTTAGACAGCACGTAGACAGTCCTGTGCAGACTGCTTGGAAGACAGCACCGAGCCCATGCTGTCCGAGAATTGGAACATGTTCAGACGGCTTTTACGCGACGAGGCGTCACCTCGCGTCGAAAAAAGAAATCCAAAGTGAACAAACATAAAAGTTGTATTTTCTTGCTTATTTGTGTTAAAATTTGAAAAAAAAAGATTGAACGCTACTCACATTGAGCTTCTGGAGAAGTGTCTGCTTGTGTGCAGACGGCCATTCTGGCGAGATTTAATCTATCTGAGCGATTCGCTGAGCCGCCATCTTGTTTAGACAGCAAAGTAGCCTCCATCGTATTTGTCTACGATGCGGTCTTCTCGGAGCTGTCTACTTTGCCGGCTACGTGAGATTGGAACGGGACTAAAGATGGCCGCCGTCCATTTAGCTGTGCATTTAGCCGTCTACGGTGAGTATTAGAACACAGCCTTTGAAACATCTGCGTGAGCCAGCCTGTCTGTGCCGATCCAGTGCGTTTCGATTAAAAGCTACCGGGTGCTGTACTTCAAAGTATCTGCAAGTCTCGTTGCTGGCGTAATATTGAGCAAAAGGTCACGTGTTGGGCCGACAATGCCGGCTTCAAAACGGCACGGTTTTTGAAGGCCGACCACGTGACGTCACGCTCCCTCTCCTTTTTTTCCCCTACCATCGTTGGAGGACAAGAAAATACAAGTGAGCTGTTCGTCCAAAGGTTCAGATTCATTTTTCAGAATATCTACTCCGCCATCTTTGCCCCGAAAAATCTACAGCATGGATATAGCCACATATCAAAAGGGGCAAACCCTACAGATGCTTCTCATTGCGCAACAGAAGTGCGCCTTAATGAAGCTCAAGTGATTGAAATTTTCCAGAGCCTTTTATACAGTGTGTCCAGCAGCCCGAATTGATTTTGGACTATTAAACCCTATTAAAAATCCCCATGAAAATGCACCACCACTAATAAACTGGTTACGTTGGTAGGAGACGGGCTGCTGGTACTACAAGCGACCGCGCACAGCTTAAGCGATGCAACATTTCAGTAACGGGAGTTCTTTTTTTTTTGCAGTGCTACAGGTGGAGAAAGAGTCGACACAGGAGGATACCGACGAACGACACTGCGTGTTGTGGGCGAAACAAGACGCACTGGACGCTCGTCATGCGTCGTGCGAAGAATACTTCTTGCATAACTGCGTCACGAAACACGTGTACACTGTTTACAACAGGACAGAATGCACATCGGCACGATCGCATTCGCCTGCGGAGATCAGAAGCGAGGCTATCGGGTAATAAAAAGAAAATGAATGCAACTTGAAATGTTCGTTGTGACATAATTTAGTTGATTTATGCATCTGACAAGTGCCGAGCTTGGGTATCTTTCTAAACAGAATACACTGAAGGTAAGGCGATGAAAGAGGATCCCGGAAAACGCCTTATTTGCGACTTGATATCGTCGCAAAAAGGTTTACGCAAGACAGAGAGAGAGATAAAAATAGAGAGGAAATGCAGAGAGATTAACCAAGCTTGCCTCGGTTGGCTACCCTACCCTTGGTGTGAGAGAAAGAGGGAATACAAGAAAAAAAAAAAGACATAGAGCAAAGGAACGCTAAGCCACGAAAGTTTGCTTGCGCTTCTTGAGGACCACCGGTCTTCACGAGCGTTTGCTAAAGAACAGTGTAAGGCCGTGATGTGTAGTATCGAGCTCACTATTTATCCATCTATGTCTTACTCTTCACGCAAACTGTTCTTCGAATTCGCGTCACATCGCTTACTGCATCTATATGGGAAACAACGCGCAAAGAGAGTGAACTAAAAAACGAAAAAAAAACGGCATTGCTGTTGCTTTTTCCGTTTCTTGTTCTTCGTTTTAACCACCGCGGCGAGGCTGCTGGGTAATACAGTTCTTCGAAACGCAGTGAAAATAACGCCATGCTTCACAAACATATGCGTCGTGTATACAGGCTTCGCAATACAATATGTAATTTCACACTAATATTGCGTGTTCGAAGCGTATATCACCATGGGGCGTAAGAAGTTGTGACTGTGATAACGACTTCGTGGTTTTGATGCCAGCCACTCATTGCAAATCGCAGACACGTTCCTATACGCGTATTTTGTTAAGACCACGCACAATTAACCAAGGTACAAAATATTTGTACAAACCTATAGAGCCGTTTCGTAAAGTTTCACCTTACAATTAACTACACCACACTCACCATTTCCGCGCATGCTTCGCACAGCATTCATTCTCATGGTAGGTGGGATACGTTTAACGCTTACTAGAGTTTAGTAAAGTTTCAGTTAGATGTTGACTCGCAAAATGAAAGTATTGGATATTATGCGTGATCCCTCTCTTGAGCACTGGGAGGCCGTGTTGACCAGCTCAGACCCAGTCGTCCAGTTAAGGGTCGTGGAGTGGGCCACACAGGTCGCCGCCAACCTTGGGTTGATGGCCATCTAACACGGAATCATCCCTCAGTTGCTTTCTGACGAAATAAAGTTTTACCATCTATCGGAAACAGCAGAAACTATGGTTTATTGTTCTCGTGGAGCTTGAAAGCATTGCAAAAAGTAAAAAAAAGCGGTGATTGCAATGGTGGGTGGACGCACGTGTTGCCTCTTTTGCGAGTGATTACTTGTCCGCAGCAATTTGATGTTTATGCACAGATATAGCGTTTCCGAGAATGAAAGTTCACTACCGAAGCACAACCTTGAACAGACGGAGCCGCTCTCATTTAGAACAGCGTGTCCCGCACCCATTTTATTCCGAAGAGTGCCACAGCCGAGTCCTCCGTGAAAATCTTGTGGCTCCTGGTACATTGCTGTCGGAAAAGATGAGAAGAGTACGAGATATTTGTATTACAGTGTCAGAATAACAAATGATTGGTCAATAAAACATCGACGTCATGTGTCATCGGTGTGATGTATATACGAGATAAATGAAGTGTACAGGGGCGATATCCCGGTGGGGTCCAGCTCGAGCTTTTATTTTTATTGTTCGAGTACTGAGCAGAAATTATGAACTTACGAGATGATTATTCGCGTTCTTTTGATCATTACGACAGTTTTTTTCGGCACTCAGATGAATGATGACGCGTTTTAAGGAGATTTGGACCGCCTGGGGTTCTTTAACATGCACCTAAATTTAAGCACGCGGTTTTCAAGATTGTTATGCGCAAGGAAAAAGGCCACGAGCAATGCATCCTGGCGTGTTAGGGTATAGCCACAGGGAGGTTTGCTCTGCCGTGTGTGCGTACATAATGACAACGAAAAGATTACCTTGTTAGTCTATTGTCATTATTATTTCTGGCTACGAGACTACCTGAATGCCTGACTCGTAACTAACTCACTTGATGATTCTGCCGCCCGGTTCTTGGCCGATCCCTCTTGGTGGGTGTGTGCCAGCAGAGCTTAAGGCTCATCATCATCATCACCACCATCATCATCATCATCATCATCATAATTGAATGCACAGATACCCACCACGGTAGTCTAGTGGCTAAGGCACTCGACTTCTGACCCGCTGGTCACGGGATTGAATCCCGGCCCCAGCAGCGGCATTTTCGATGGAGGCTGAAATTCTTGAGGCCCGCGTGCTTAAATTTAGGTGCATGTTAAAAGAACCCCAGGGGGTAGAAATTTTCGGCTCCATCTACTACGGCGTCTCTCATAATCATGTAGTGGTTTTGGGACATTAAACCCCAAATTATTGTTATTATAAAATTCACAGATGAATTTATGTTCATAAATGACCTACGTAAGACTGGTCAAGAGCAGGGTTACTGGGACAAGCTAGTGGACACTCAGATGCCGCACTACGCAGTTGGCGAATTGGCATATCAGTTTCTGCCTGAATAATCTGAGTTATCCTGGCCCCGCCGTTATACGCGACGATGTAAACCCATTTTAATGCGGCCGAATTTATTTACGAAGCACGTTATGGTGCAGCGCAGAGACACGTCAAAGCGCTTGTGGTGGTTTCCGCAGTGCGAAGCGTTTGTGAGCGTCATCATGGCCTTCGCTGAAGAAATCTGTGTCTACACCAACCACATAAAAAACTGTTAGCCCACGATGGAAATGATGTCTTAATTCCTCGATGATATAGTCGCATGTACCTAATTAAAAGGTAGTGGTAGCAGGGGGGGTACTTTATTAACGTAATTTGTTTATTGCATTTGGGCTACAGTGCATTCGACATTGCATCAGTCCTTGCCATTTGATCATTTTCTCCTGATAAGTATGAGCAGCTCTGGGAAATTCTGGAAGCGGTGCAGTACAATGCGTTCTAAATTCTGCATTTCCAAATTGTCTGCCAGCCGTGTGAGCCACAATTTAGGAAGCTGAAACAAAGCAATCAGGGCTACCACATGAGGAGTGATGTAGGAAAAGCCTTTCGGTTAAAGAGAATGGATATCCCCTGTAACACAACAATAACAACTTACAGACATTCAGGTACGCGTTTAAAACTTAATTACACAGAGCTGAACTAGTTGATACGTATTCATCATACGTATTCAACAGTGTGCCTTTTTTTTCTCCGCCATTGTGCATTTCTTCCGTTGTTAGTCGGTGTTCATCATATCTGCAATGTATTCTTGTGTCCGTGTGCTCGGCGCATGTGCAGCAGCGGTGACGTGATGTGTTGCATATTTTTTGTGAGTCATAGCGTGGGCACAGGAACGATCTGAGCGGCAGCACACGATGAAGGTTTGCAAATTATACCGATAAAACACAGACCCCGAGATCCTATACATAACACTGCGCGATGGGTTGAACCCCTGGTGGTCTAAATTTCCGGAGCCCTCCACTACGGCGTCTCTCATAATCATATAGTGGTTTTGGGACGTTAAACCCCACATATCAATCAATCACTGCGCGATGGTCAACTTCGGAGGCCACGGAGCGACAGTTTCCGTTTCGGCGACGTCCACCGTGAGTGCTGTTTGGAACATGTCCATTGCCCAGAACGCAGCGTTTTGTGTGTGTTGGGATGTCATGCTGAAGAATGCAGCGCAGGGAAAAACACCGATAAAGAAAGGCGTGATAAACATACACAGGTGCTACGGCATAGCGCCTGTGCTTGTAAGGGCTTTCTTCGTTCGTCTTTTTCCATCTATAAGCTTCATCACTCGTACGTGTCTTAAGTGAAATATCTGGATCTCTCGTTTATGACTGTACGTAAATTTCAGTGCGGTCAACCTCTGTGCCCTTAACGCTTCTTTGAAGAGAATGACGGAATCATTATTCGCTTTTACGTGTCGAACAATGTATGTTTCAATCAAACTCTGTTAAGACTTATGAAAAAGTTGTAACTGTCTTGGTGAACCGGTGGTGGCGGCAGCGTTACAGCGTGTACCTGGTCACATCCTCTCTGCGTCAAAGGCGCATTGAAATTGAAAACGCCGGTCCTGCTTTTCCTGCTTGCCCGGGTGGACCGCTGGTCTTCCCTTACCTTTCGGTGTCGCCCATCGTCGGGCAGGACCACCATCGCTGGATGTTCGAACTACCAACTTCTGCTCGCATCGACCGTTGCTGTGCCTTATCTACGTGCTGCAGAAAACAACACCCCTCTCCTGACGCCACTAGTGGACCCGTGTCTGCAACTGTGTTTATACCACGGCATCTATCATGCGGCAATTGGTGGTGGCGGTAGCGTTACAGCCAGTACCTGATCACATTCTCTCCGTGATACAGGTTGGAATTTCACTGTTCTCACTTGTATGGTTGTTTTCTTGATGTTGTGCCACTTCCATCACTGCCACTAGTACTTTACTAGTGTATTGTTTTAGTGTACCGACTATCATACCTATTATCCCTACTGTATTGCTACGTCAAAAGAATACTTAAGACTTCTTCAGGGTTTGAATGATGAACTCAAAGCAAAATTTAGAACAAGTTAAAGAAACTATCGAAAGAAGTATGCCCACAGACCAACGCAAAATTCACGGGGAGCAGCGGGAAATGAAAAAAAAAAAAAGCATGGAATTCCTCAGTAATTGTTTTGAAGAATGCAATCGTTTGGTTACAATCAGCTCTTGTTGCTTAAAACAAGGCTTCAGTCAAACACAATGAAGGACTTAATCACAGGGTAAGCGTTCTTGAAAAGAATATTGGTGAATGCCAGGCAAACCTGGTTAAAGCCGAAATATTTTCTAGAAAAAGACCCTGCCACGGTGTTCTAGTGACTAAGATACTCAAATTCTGCTCCGCAGGTCGTGAGATGGAATCCCGGCTGCGGCAGCTGCATTTTCGATGAAGGAAAAAAGGTTGTAAGCCCGTGTGCTCAGATTTGGGTGCACGTTAAAGAACC